AAATATAATTATATATATAAATATATTTTATATATATAAATACAAAAATATAAAAAATATTCTTTATTTCTTTATGATTTCCTTTTTTGGGCCATGAGTTATTTAAAGCATTTTTCAAACTTTGCAAGTGTTTTGAGATTTTCATGTTGTCTTTCCATTATTGATTTCCATTTTGATTCCACTATGGTCAAAGTATATACTCAGCACTGTTTGAATTCTTTTAAATTTGTTAAAGGTTGTTCTATGACTGAAGATATGGTTTATTTATGTGAATGTTCAATGTTTATTTGAAAAGAATGTGTATTCTGTTATTGAGTGGAGTGTTCTATAAATGTTAATTAGATGTGGTTAGTTGATGGTAATTGTTCAGTACTTAACATTATTGCTGATTATTTAGTTGTTCTGTCAGCCATTAAAAGTGGAGTATTACATGTTCTCACTTATAAGTGGGAGCTAAACAATGAGTATATATAGTCATAAAGTGGTATAATAGACATTGGAAACTAAGCAGGGAATGAGAGGGGATTGAGGGATAAAAAATTACCTATTGGGTACAATATATACTTTTCTGCTGATGGATATGCTGAAAGTCACGACTTTAGCATTATACAATTCATGCATATAACAAAAATCACTGTACCCCTTCAATTTATTGAAATGAAAAAGAATGAGATACTGAATACCTCCATAATTGTTTATTTATCTGTTAATATTTTTCTTCTCAACTCCATCAGATTTTGTTTCATGTATTTTAAAGCTCTATTGTTTGGTACATACATATTTAGGATTGTTGTCTTCTTGGTGGATTGAGTCTTTCATCATCATGTAATATCACTTTTTGTCCCTAGTAATTTTCTTTGCTTTAAAGTCTGCCTTATGTGATATTAATAGTTATTCTTGCTTTTTAGAAATAACTGTCTGCATAATATATTTTTCCATCCTTTTACTTTCAACCTATCTATGTTGGTATGCCTAAAGTGAGTTTCCTATATACAGCATTTCCTCTGTCATGTAGTTGGTATATTTAGACAATTTATATACAAAGTATTATTGATATTTAAGACTTAAATTTCTCATTTCATTATTTTTTTCTATTTCCTCTGTTTCTCATTTCTCTATTTTTTCCTGCCTTCCTATGGGTTCTTTGAGCATTTATTAGTATTTTGTTTTGATTTATTTGTATTTTTTTTTTAGTATATTGCTTTGTATAGTTTTTTTAATGGTTGTTCTAAGTAATTCCTTATCACAGCCTACTGGTATTGATGGTTTACTACTTCAAGTTAAGTGTACAAACCTTACTTCCATTTTTGTCCCTTTACTCTCATCATTTAAAAAGCATGTTTGTCTGAAGTATTTCTTTTACATATATTATATAGCATATTAGATGTTGTTAATCTTTTGCTCCAATCATAAAACGCAATTAAAGAAACTCATGAAGTTAAGGATTGTGTTTTATGGTTACTTCTATATTTACCCATTCTATTGTTCTTTCCTTTCTAAAAGTCCAAGCTTTCTTCTATTATTGTTCTCTTTCTATTTTGAGAGCTTCCATTAGCCATTCTTTAAGAGTAGGTCTCCCAGCAATAAATTTGCATAGTTTTCCTTCTCTTCCAACCCTGGAGGATATTTTCACCAGTCTTGGCTGGCAGTTCTGTCCTTTCAGCACTTGGAAAATGTTGTGCCACTTCCCTCTGGTTTCTATGGTTTCAGATGAGAAATTGCTGTCATTTGAATTGATGTTCTTTTATAGGTAATGTGTTATTTCTCTTTGAGTATTTTTGAGATTTTTCTTTTTTTTTAGTTTTCAGAAATTTAAATGCAATGTGTCTTGGTGTAGATTTCTTTAGTTTCATCCAATTTGGGATTTGCTCAGCTTATTAAATTGTAGTTTTTGTATCTTTTAACCAATTTGGGGATTTCTTTTTTAGCCATTATTTCTTGAATACTTTTTAAGTCTCACACTCTTTTTCATCTCTTTTCTGAAACTCTAATACTGTGGTCCCCAACCCCTGGGTCTGTGGCCTGTTAGGAACTGGGCTACACAGCAGGAGGTGAGCGGCAAGTGAACAAGTGAGTGAAACTTCATTTACAGCCACTCCCCATCACTCACATCACAACATGAGCTCTGCCTCCTGTGAAATCAGTGGTGACATTAGATTCTTATAGGAGTGCAAACTCTATTGTAAACTGCACAGGTGAGGGATCTAGGTTGGGTGTTCCTTATGAAAATCTAATGCCTGATGATCTGAGGTGGTGATGCTAGTGCTGGGGAACAGCTGCAAATAGAGATTATCATTAGCAGAGAGGTTTGACCACACAATAAATGTCATGCACTTGAATTGTCCCAAAACCATCCCCTACTCCCTCGTCCTTGGAAAAATTGTCTTCCATGAAACCAATCCCTAGTGACAAAAAAGTTGGGGACTGCTGCTCTAATGGTATGAATACTAAATCTTCTTTTTGTCCCAGAGATCTCTGAGGCTCTGTTGATATTGCTATCAGTTGATTGCTTTTCTTATTCCAGTGTGGTATTTCTTATTCTTCGTACAATGAGTGATTTTTTAATTTTTAATTTAATTATTTTATTTTTTAATTATATCCTGGACAGTTGGTTGTTATGTTAAGAGACTATTCCCATTTAAGTCTTCCCATTTATCAGGCAGTCACTGTGTTTAGGTTTAGCATGTTTGTTCTAGCTTACTTTTGTGTGCTTTAGTTCCAGTGACAATTTAGTTTTCTGAGCCATCTCATACTGCTTGACCTCCCACTCAATGCCTGTTTGATGCTATCTGCAGGGGTAGAAGGCATGTCCCTGATCTGCCTGTTGTTGCTAGGTGGCATTTTGGAGTGGGGGTGGGGATACAGAAGTTGCTGGGCCTGAGTCTCCTTATGGCACAGAGTAAGAATGCAGGCAAAGTAAGTACTTACGTCTGGTAAGTCCTCAGTAGATGTTTTTATAGTTACCATTGCCACCATCATTTTCTGGCCTCTCTTGTCATATGGGCTTTACAAGTATGGAATTACTTGCCAAATTCTGAACAAGAAAGGAATCTGGAGCACCCACCATCCTTTCTGTGTTTGCCTACCTACCCTACTCATCTTGAATAGTCTTCCCTGTTGCCTTCACCATAAGATGCCTTTAGCAACACACCCAACTAGAGTAAGATACAGCTTATGCTGGGCATGATCTGTTACAGGTTTCAGCACAGTGTTTGGTGGTGGTTTCCTAGGCCCCTAGCACCATTCTATGAACCCCCTCTCAGGACACAGAATTTGGTCTGGTTTCATAAGTTATATCTAAATGCCTGGCATGTGGTACTCAGATGCTTACTCAGTATATGCTGAAATGAAAGGGAGTAAAGTCAAATGAAGGATCTCTAGGTGAGAGCAACTGAATGGGTCAGGGCATAGAATTCCCCATGTGTGTCTGAGTCTGAGAAACTCTTAATAGAGAGGGCATCTGTGGCATATGGTGAGGCTTTGAGAAGTCTTGGTGGAGGGGGGTGGTATGTGTTAGATATTTATCATTTGTTTGGCCATCAGTCTCTGTTCCCTTATTATCCTGATTCTTGGTATGGGGGCAGAGCCTTTTCAACCTATGGAAGTAGAAAGTTCTGGCCTTCCCTCAGCTAGCGTATTAATAATGTGACCCAGGCACCACCACTCAGAATAACTCCTTTGAATTGAGAGGTAGTGACTCCAGATGGTTGGCTTAACAAGGAGAACCATGGCGGTGGTCACATATATAGATGGTAGCTCCTGGGGTAGCAGTGGCAGTGGGCTGCTGGTCCATCTCATATCTGATACTGACAGTGTCAGTGAGGCAAGTTACAGCATCTGGTGCTTAGTAGCAGGTCTGCCGCAGAATTTAGGGCCTTGCTCCTGGTGACAAGTTCCAAGCCAGGTTTTTCTGCCTGTTTGATGATGCTGTGAGACATCTCAATGTTCTTTTCATAAATTTCCTCCTGTTTGAATCAACCACATTTGGTTTTCTTGCTTAAAACTAAAGCTGGACTAATATACTGGAACTGGGATCAGGCTATTAGCCAACTCAGAGTCCTGTGTATCTACTGATGATCTCTTGGTAAGGATCATTTCTACATATTAAGGAGAGTACATTCCAGTGAATTTACATTTATCTAAAAATAAATTCCTTTTTATATTGATGTGTTCAAGAGAGTTTCTAATTTGTAATTGTTTAATATGATTTAAGAGATTGCCAAAAATCTCTGTCATTATTTTCTCTTGAAACACAATGTGCATATTCTTATCCGTTCTTTTTTTTTTTACGTGAAGAGTTGTGGATGGTGTTATTATTGATGTTATGTGTAAGAGAGAGAATGGGCCATAACTTATTCCTTTTTATTAATTCTAATTTTGTCTAATATTTGTTTATTCCCATGATATATAAAGCAGAACATTTAGAGTCCCTCATTCACTACCATGCATCCATAGAAGTCCTAGTAGTGTTTCCACTTACTTGAAAGTGTGTATTTTACCAGAACCTGTATGGAATCAAGTTATGTTAGATATGTCTATGTGTTTCTTGTTAGATTGCTATTCATACCACACTTGTGTTTGCCAAATATTGGGTATCATGAATAAATACTGATTTTAAATACACCTGATCGCCACCAGAGTATAAGCTGCATATTCAAGGTCTGTTGACAGATGACTGACCAGTAACTAAGTTAGTGTCTCACACAGAAACATAAAAAGATAAAATTATATTAACATCTCTGTTGTCAAGACAGGAAATCCGTAGTCCTGCTTTTAGCTGTCCTTGGACTGCCTGGATAGAAACGTTTATGGCACACCCAGGGATTGGGTTTCTTGGAATCACTGGGTTTAAATTATTATCTCAATATAATTTTAATTTATCTTTTACTTTACAAGTACTTTTTCTTCTTTTTTTTTTTTGCAAGCAGCAAATAAATGTTTCTTTGTGAGATCTTTTTTGAGATTCAAGCATATTCTTGGTATCTCTCTTTGTTCCACAGATTGGAAGTTCCACAAATACCCTGAATGCCCTGCAAATTGCTTTTGCTGATAAAGAAACACAAGTAATCTACCTTTTGACAGATGGGAGACCTGATCAGGTATGTATCAAAGTTGGGAACAAAGAGAGACTCACTAATACTTGGAAAGTGAGTGCTAAGAATGAATTTGGGGCATGTTCTGAACTGCCATCAAAAAGCAGTTGAGATACATTTCCTTGGCTTAGGGACTTAAAACTGAGGTGAGAAAATACACTGAGGAATTCCTTTGTCTACTGCAACTCTGGGGAGAATTTATGTGACAGTAAATGCTGACTCTTAATGTGAAACACACTAAGAGCTTGGAGCCCAACTGCATGAAAGGAGACCTTTGCCTTCCATTGAAGACTGGTTTACATTTTATTACGAATTAAGAGTGAGGAGATTCTTTTTGATTCTTTTCCTTTGGGGTCTCTGAATCTAAACATATCACTGCATAATGTCCTTGGTTTTACCCTTAATTTTAACTTAGTACTCATTTAAACAAAAACATGCCTTTCTAGTAAAATGTTCTTTGTTTTGTTTAGACCTACTGGAAAGTATTTGCAAAGTTTTAGAAGAGTTTATTCCTCTTCTTTTGAGCTTTGTGAATGAAAAACAAGTGTTCCAGGTATTAAATAAATACAAGGATTTTCAGGCCAGCACAGTGTAAATTAACCACTACAGTGAATTAGTATCAATTTGTATCCTTCCTTGTAAGATGTTTGCATGTGCAGACTGCTAGGCAAATATTTTAAAATCTCCTGTGTCAAATAGTTCAGGGCTTGAATAGTAAAGCACCTGGATTTTATTGCAGTTTTAGATTTATGGCAGAAACGTAGTGTGTAAAGTGAAAAATTTTTTGAATTTTCTTTTTATCAACTTTATTTTCTATTGAGAAGTAACTTATTGTGTGCCTCTTATATTTCATGTGTGGTGCCAAGGTTTGAGGCAACGAAGATGAATAATATCTCATCCCTGCCTTAGGGAAGCTTGTGCCCTGGGGAATGTGCTAGACCTACAAAGTTAATTGTAATACAATACAAGGAATGGGTTGCCTGTGCTATGTCTAGGAGCACACAGTGATGAATTCTGTTGTATAAGCTGGAGAGAAGACCAGGGAAGGTTCCACTGAGAAGGGAACATTTGAGCTGTGTCTGGAAAGAGGAGAAGAAATTTTCTGAACAGAGGGGATTACTGTGTCCAGGGCAGAAGGGACACAGAGGTGTGGAAATACACAGGATGCTCAGAGATACAAGCTAAGGGCAGGGGCAACGATGGAAGAGTGGCAGGGCTGAGGCAAGATAGTTGGATTGGGGGAGGTCCTTGAATGCCACATTGAAAGGGTAGGTGTCACTGCACTGTGGAACTCTCAGAGAAGTGGGTCATTTCATCCATTTATGCTTTAGAAGCATGCCTTGGTAGAGCCAGGGAAAGGCTGGCACTGCCACAGGCTGTTGCCAGGACCTTGATGAAAGCGAAGTAAGGGTCCAGCCTCAGGCAGGAGTAGCAGGATTGGGGAGGAGATGAGCATCTATTAGACATGGTGGCCGGTTTGGGAACAAGGGGTTGGGGATGAGGGGAAGTTAGGAGCAAGGCAGAAAGGAGTTAAGATGCCTGCTTGATTTCTGGTTTGCAGTGATTATGTTATTAACTGATTGAAATTTAATTTTCAAGAAGGAGCAAGCAGGCTTGAGGTTTGCTGCTGGAGGAAGCTGAGTTTGCACACCTGTAGTACACGGACATCCAGAAACTCCTAGAAATATGGGGCTGGAGTTTGGGGACAATGTGGACTGAAGATTATGTTTTGAGAGTCATCTATGCTGGGTGTCTTTTTCTTTTTTATAAACTCTTACTGATTTTTTCAATTATTTATACTTTGGGAAATTTAGAAAGTGTAGATAAGCATAAAAAAAGAAACTTCCAATCACTCAAAATTCAGTTTTGTGTTCTACCTTTTTTCATCAAATATATCGTATGCATTTTTCTGAGTCATCAGCAATCTTTCAGAAACATCCTTCTCAATGAGTACATCATATTCTGTTATATCGATTTAATAAAACTTTTACCTAAAAACCATTTTTATTTAATTTTTGAATAAATAATACATTCACATAGCACAAATTACAAAAGTACAAAAGGATATACAAAAGGGTATATGTTTCTCCCTCTCACTCCTATTCACCAGCTAGGAGGCAACTGATGTCACCAGTTTCTTGTATCTCCTTTCAGAGGTAGTTAATATTATTTCCCAGAAATGTATTCATATATACCTCTTTTTTTCTTTTTCTAAATTTTTATTTTCAGTACATTAAATTTACTTATAAAAACATTCTAAAAATGTATAATTTTTCCTTTTTATATTTTCCCTTTTTAAAAAAATATACACATGGTAGCATATCATAAACATGATTCTATACCTTTATTCATCAAACAATATACCCTGGAGATTATGTCATATCATTTTGTAAAGAACTTCCTCATTTTCATATAATTCCATCACATGGCTGTGCCATCATATATTTAAACAGTTCCCTGGAGATGGGCATTTGGGTTATTTCCAGTCTCTCTGTTATACACAGTGTTGCAAAAGGAACTGTGTACATATATCATTTTGCACATGTGTGAGTATATCTCTAGTGTAAATTCCAAGAAGTGGACTCAGCCAAAAGGTATGCATTTTGATGGATGCTGTCAAGTAGCCCTTCCCCTGCCTAAAGAAGATGTACCAAGTAACACCCCTGCTAGCAGGGTGTTGAGAGGAATTCTTGGTCTACAGTCCATGATGACCTTCTGAGGTTCTGGAATCTCCCCATAATATATGCAAAATACACTCAAAATTTTTTTCTGGAGAGAAGATCAATAGGTTTCACCAGATTCTCAGAGGGTCTGTGGGCCACTCAAAGATGCAGAACAAAGTATATGAATAATGTCAGAAATATGCAAATTACCTAAAACATGATTTATAAACTCTTAAGAATTTTCATATTCAATCCTGCTTTTTCCACAGATGTGGTCTATTTATAATACTTCACATTATCCCTCAGAGTTGCTCAAAAAAGCAAATGGATATTTGACATCCATGTTCTGTGTAGAAGACATTAAGATGTACCTCTCAATCTCCATTTGTTTTCGAATTTTCCCTGACTTTATAGGAACTGAATGTGTGAAGTCATTGTTACTATTTCAAATACTGAGCAGAATTTTTTACCTGAAGGAACACACAGAGATGCTATTCTGGATTCAGTTACATGGACCCCAGCTTACTGCTTGCTTATTAAATATCCAGGGCAGCATTATAAAGTGATACAACATTTAAAATTAATCAGGTCAAGGGGATTTTAGAAATATTAGTCTTCATTAAAATGGAATCAGGTCCACATTAGTGAGGAAGGATGCCCTTTGGTGGGCATCTGTAGGTGAAAACTGACAGGGAAGGGCCTCTGCTGGAACAGTCCAGGGTAGCTTTGGCAGCGATCATTCTGGGGCTTCTTTGAAGTTAAGGGCTCACAATGGGTGGAATCAGAAAAAGGACATGATTAAGGCATCTATACCATTCTAGATAAAAGCTGATGGACAAAGCCTAGCATGGAGTATGTGAGGGCTGGGGGATGGGGAGACACAGGGTGATCAACCTGCACAAACAGACCTTCCTCAGCCAGGGAGGAGACCTACCTTTTGTTCCATTCCAAGCTAATGTTTGCAGTGGAAGGGAACTCTGGCTGCACATCTATTCAGACTCGGAGAAGAGGGAACTGGTGAAGCTCCTCAGGAGTGCCACTTGGCTGCCTCTTAGGCTGACGGCAGCACCTGGCACATGAAAGGTGCTCAATAAGTATTTGTGGGATGGCTTCATGAGAACATCATCTCATTTATTGCTCATAGCAACCCTGTTAGGAAGGAGTATTAGCTCTAAGCCACAGACAAGGAAACGCATTTGAGAGGACACTTGCCCAAGGTCCTGGGCAGTGCTGGGATGAGCCTCCAGCCCAGGTCTCCATCTCTAGAGCTATTTCCATCACTCCATAAAGCTAAAGAAAGCACAAGCACATGAGAGACTGTTATGTGTGTCCTTATGAGCCCCCCACCTGCACACAGCCCCAGGTAGTACCATTGTGCTAAAATGGCATGACATTGAAGTGTCACAATGTGGTGCTGGAGAGCTGGACAAAGAGTAGACAGAGGCGGAGCTCCATCTTTGCAGTGGGCATGACCCATTCTTGTCCTCCTGCCCACACACCTTGAGGATCCCTTCCATTGGATTTATGTCCTCAGAGCTCTGAAGAGGAGAATCAGGATGTTGGAACAAACCTCTCACCACTGCAGCCTGGCTAACCCTGACTCTTTCCAGGCACTCTCTCCATTACCTCTCCTGGGCTGTGCAATGGAGGGCCTATGCCCTGTCCTGCTCCTGTGTAGGGTATGGAAGCCTATCTCAGCCCCGAGCTCTTTAATATGCTCCTTACAGAGGCTGCCAGCATTCTTTACTCCCTAGGATGGATGCCCAGCACTTGGAAGGACCTCACATCTCTTCCTTCATTCTCTGTGGGAAGCAAGTTAACCATAGCATGTTGGAAACTGGAAATTGCTCTTTTGGTGGAGATGCTTTGGAAGAGAAACCAAGAGCTCTTATCTGAGGAATCCCCATAGTCAGGATGTTCTGAAGCTATGGAAGCTTCAGACTTCCATACTTAAAGTGATCTAAACATAGCCCAGCACTTTAAAGGCATGGGCTCTAAGTTTAGTGCACCTAAGGTTGGACAACTTGGCTAGCCAAGTCTTTCTCCTAGCTTCATTTTTTCACCAAATTGAAATACCTCAGAGGACAAGGGCCATGTCTTATTGTTCTTTGTATTCTCACCATCTGGCTGTGTTTATTAAATTGAACTGATACATTTATTGAAGTTTCTCACCACTGTATAAGGAATTACTATTTGAGAATTGCACTATCTATAGCAAATACTAAGAGTTTTCATGTCTTATTTTTTTCTTCTCTCTTTCCATCTCCCCCCCCCCCGCACTCAAAACTTATTTCAGCCACCTGAAATGGTTATAGAACAAGTCAAGGATTTTCAGAAAATTCCTATTTATACCATCTCCTTCAATTACAATGATGAGGTTGCAAATGGATTTTTGAGAGAGCTTGCTTCTTTGACTGGAGGAAAGTTCCATTTTTATAATTTTGGTTATAAGGACCTTGTTTCTCCAGAGGTTGTTCAGGTAAGAGCTTGATGGGCTGAGAAGGGAGTGTTTGTTTATTTTAGGGTTACAGGCTGGATCTAATATCTTAGTTGGGAAAATAGCAACCAAAAAGATAACTAAGTTGAGAAAATGAATCATTTAACACTGATTGTACCAGTATTTCTCAAAATGTAGTCCAAGGACCATACCTGGGCTAGGGCACTTGAGCAGATTCCTGGATCCTACTTCAGAGCTACTAAATCAGAATATAGCAAAGGCCCAGGAATCTTAATTCATAAATTTTATTTTTCTCTAAACTTTTATATGGAAAGTTTCAAACACACACAAAAGTAGAAAAATATATGGACCCCCATGTACCCATAATTAAAATTCAACAATTATCAACATTGTGTCAAACTTTAGGAATCTGTATTTCTAACAAGGATCCCAGGGGATCCATATGTGAATTAGACCATGTTGATTGATGGTGGTGTTCATGTCTTCTCTGTCTTTGCTTATTTTGTGTCTACTAGTTCTATAAGTTGCAGTGGAGAAAGGATAAGGGTTTTCCACCTAAAAAATAGTGTTGAAACAATTGAACATCCATATACCAAAAAAACTTTGATCTATAACTCACACCATATTCAAAAATTAACTCAAAATGGTTCATGGACTGAAATGTAAAACGTAGGCTTTTCTCCTTTTAGAGAAGAATCTATGAAGAACCCTTTGTGATCTTGTGTTAGACAAAGAATTTTTTAGATAGTATATCAAAAGCACCATTCATGTAAGAATAAATTGATGAATTGGAATTGATCAAAATTAAAAGCTTCTTCTTTTTAAAAGATGATGCTAAGATAATGAAAACCCAAATTACACACTGGGAAAAAAATTTCAAATTGTATATCTAGCTGCCCACTATCTCCACTTCTGTTCAACATAGTGCTAGAAGTCTTGGCTACAGCAATCAGACAGGAAAATGGAATCAAAGGTATCCAAATAGGGGCAGAAGAGATCAAACTTTCACTGTTTGCTGATGATATGATATTGTATCTAGAAAACCCCAAGGATTCAACCAAGAAACTCCTGGAACTGATCAATGAATTTAGTAAAGTCTCAGGATAAAAATCAATACACAGAAATCAGAGGCATTCATATACGCCAACAACAATCTCATTGAGAACCAAATCAAAGACTCAATTCCCTTCACAATAGCAACAAAGAAATTAAAGTACCTACGAATTTACTTAACCAAGGACATAAAAGACCTCTACAGGGAGAACTATGAAACACTGAGGAAGGAAATAGCAGAGGATGTAAACAGATGGAAATCCATACCAAGCTCGTGGATCGGCAGACTCAATATCATCAAAATGTCTATACTCCCAAACTGATCTACAGATTCAAGCGAATACCTATTAAAATCCCATCAGCATTCTTCACAGATATAGAAAAAATAATTTTACGCTTCATATGGAACCAAAGAAGACCCCGAATATCAAGAGCAATTCTAGGCAACAAAAACAAAATGGGAGGCATTAATATGCCAGATATCAAACTATACTACAAAGCTGTAGTAATTAAAACAATATGGTATTGGCACAAAAACAGGAATATTGACCAGTGGAACAGATGTGAGAATCCTGATATAAAACCATCCTCATATAGCCATCTAATCTTTGACAAAGCAGACAAAACATACGCTGGGAAAAGAATCCCTCTTCAATAAATGGTGCTGGAAAACTGGATAGCCACCTGTAGAAGGCTAAAACAGGACCCACACCTTTCGCCTCTCACAAACCAAAAAATCGCTGGATAACAGACTTAAACCTAAGGTATGAAACTATTAGAACTCTAGAGGAAAAGTTGGAAACACTCTCCTAGACATTGGCCTGGGCAAAGAGTTTATGAAGAAGTCCCCAAAGGCAATCACAGCAGCAACAAAAATAAATAAATGGGACATGATCAAACTACAAAGCTTCTGCACAGCCAAAGAAATAGTCATGAAAGTAAACAGACAACCTACAGAATGGGAGAAAATTTTGCATCCTATGCATCCGATAAGGGACTGATAACTAGAATATACTTAGAACTCACGAAATCAGGAAGAAAAAATCAAATAACCCCATTAAAAAGTGGGCAAAGGACTTGAACAGAAACTTTTCTAAAGAAGACAGAAGAATGGCCAACAAACATATGAAGAAATGCTCAACATCTCTAATCATCAGGGAAATGCAAATCAAAACCACAATGAGATATCACTTAACCCAGTGAGAATGCCTTATCAAAAAATCTCCAAACAATAAATGCTGGGTGTTGCGGAGAGAGAGGAACACTCTACACTGCTGGTGGACTGCAAACTAGTTCAACCTCTGTGAAAGCAATATGGAGATACCTTAAAGCAATACAAGTGAATCTACCATTTGATCCAGCAATCCCATTGCTGGGCATCTACCCAAATGATCCAGTGACACTCTACAAAAAAGACACCTGCACCCGAATGTTTATAGCAGCACAATTCATAATTGCAAGGCTGTGGAAACAGCCCAAGTGCCCATCAATCCAGAATGGATTAATAAAATGTGGTATATGTATACCATGGAGTACTATTCAGCTCTAAGAAACAATGGGTGATATAGCACAATCTTATATTCTCCTGGTTAGAGCTGGAACCCATACTACTAAGTGAAGTATCCCAAGAATGGAAAAGCAAGCCCAGATATATTCTCAGCAAACTGGTATTAACTGAGTAGCACCTAAGTGGACACATAGGTGCTACAGTAATGGTATTGGGCAGGTGGGAGGGGGAGGGGGGGGGTATATACATACATAATGAGTGAATGTGCACATCCTGGGATGGTCATGATGGAGACTCAGACTTTTGGGGAGAGGGGGGAAATGGGCATTTATTGAAACCTTAAAATCTGTACCCCCATAATATGCCAAAAAAAATTGTATATCTAATAAAGGACTTGTATCTAGAATATATAAAGGTCACTCAAAACCTACAGAAAGCATTTGACAAAGTCTAGCACACCTTATGATAAAAACTCTTAACAAAATAGGCATAGATGGGTCATACCTTAAAATTATCAAGTCCATTTATGATAAATCCATGGCCAATATCATACTGAATGGGGGGAAATTGAAACCATTCCCACTTAGAACCAGAACCAGACAAGGCTTCCCGCTATCTCCACTTCTATTCAACATAGTGCTGGAAGTCCTTGCTAAAGCAATTAGACGAGAGAGGGGAAAATTAAGGGCATCCAAATGGGGGCAGATGAGATCAAACTCTCACTCTTTGCTGATGATATGATATCTAGAAAACCCCAAGGATTCAACCAACAGACTCCTAGAATTGATAAATGAATTCAGTAAAGTCTCAGGACACAAAAATCAATACACACAAATCAGAGGCATTCATATATGCCAATAACAGTCAAGATGAAATTCAAATAAAAAATGCAGTACCTTTTACAATATCCTCAAAGAAAATTAAATATCTAGGAATATATTTAACAAAAGATGTGAGAGACATATATAGGGATAACTACAAAACACTAAGAAAAGAAATCATAGAAGATGTAAACAGATGGAAAAATCTACCTTGCTTATGGACTGGTAGAATTGATATCATTTGAATATCCATACTACCTAAAGTGATCTACAGAATGCATTCTCTATCAAAGTACCATCATAATTCTTTACAGATCTAGAAAAAATGATTCTATGCTTTGTATGGAACCAGAGAAGACCTCATATATCCAAAGCAATCTTAAGTAAAAAGAACAAACTGGGAGAGATCAGTCTACCAGACTTCAAGCTGTACTACAAGGCTATAGCAATTAAAAAAGCATGGTTACTGGCACAAGAACAGAGACATAGACCTTTGCAACAGGACTGAGAATCCAGAGATGAAACCATCTGCATGTAGTAATCTAATCTTTGACAAAACAGACAAAAATATACACTGGGGAAAAGAATCTCTTTTTAATAAATGGTGCTGGGAAAACTGGATAGCTACATGCAGAAGATTGAAGCTGGATCCCCACCTCTCATAAAAATCAATTCAAGATGCATAACAGACTTAAACCTAAGGCATGAAACCTTAAGAATTCTAGAAGAAGATGTTGGGAAGACCCTTTCAGACATTGGCCTAGGCAAAGAATTTTTGAAGAAGACCCCCAAAGCAATCACAACAGCAACAAAAATAAATAAATGGAATCTGATCAAATTAAAAAGCTTTGCACAGCCAAGGAAACTATCATTAGAGTGAATAGACAACCTACAGAATGGGAGAAAATATTTGCTCTCTACACATCTGATAAAGGGCTGATAACATGAATATATCTAGAATTTTAAAAAATCAACAAGAAAAAAATCAAACAACCCCATCAATAAATGGGCAAAGGAAATGAACAGAAACTTTTCAAAAGAAGACAGAATAATAGCCAGCAAACATATGAAAAATGCTCAACATCTCTAATCAATCATTAGAGAAATGCAAATCAAAACCACAATGAGATATCACCTAACCCCAGTGAGATTAGCCTCTATCAAAAAATCCCCAAACAACAAATGCTGGCGAGGGTGTGGAGAGACAGGAACACTCTTACACTGCTGGTGGGACTGCATATTAGTGCAACCTCTGTGGAAAAGAATTTGGAGATACCTCAAATAGCTAAAAATAGAAATACCATTCCATCCATCAGTAGCAGTATTAGGCATCTACCCAAAAGAGCAAGACATTCTATAATAAAGACATTTGCACCCAAATGTTTATGGTAGCACAATTCACTATTGCAAGGATGTGGAAACAACCCAAGTGCCCATCAATTCATGAGTGGATTATTAAAATTTGGTATATGTACACAATGGAATACTACTCAATAATAAGAAACAACAGTGATCTAGCACCTCTTATATTTTCCTGGATAGAGCTTGAGCCCATTATCTGAAGTAAGGTATCACAAGATTGTAAGAATAGCCTCCACATATACTCACCATCAAATTAACACTGACTGATCAACGCTATGGTGCTCACACAGTAGTAATATTCTCCAGGAATTGGGAGGTTGGGGGGTGGTAAACTCACAACTAATGGACTCAGTCAGCATTGTAGAGAGGAAGGGCATGCCTGTGATCCTTGCTTAGGTGAGGCAAAGACATAAAATGTAACCAAAATGTTTGTACCCTCATAATATCCTGAAATAAAAATAAAAGAAGACCCTCACTAGATGCCAGCCCCTTGATCTTGAACTTCATAGCCTCCACAACTGTAATAAATAAATTTCTTTATTTAAAAAAACTAAAGCAAACTTGATGAAATAAAATTTCACTGCAAAAAACCAAAACAAAAATTAATAGGTTTTCTCTTATACTCTCTGCACCTCATTTATTCAGTGTTGGTGGTCTACTCCACCCCCAGCCCCCCATACTCTATGTAGGTTGATACCAGCCAGAAGTCTGAGGCAATTGTCCCTCTATAACAGGCCCTATTGTTGAAGCCACGAGAATTCTGTTTTCACCCTCAAGCACCTATACCTACCCTCAATATTCATCCATGCCTCACTTTATGTATACAACTAAATGCAGTGCATCTCATAAGAATAGCCAAGCTTACTTGGGAAGGGTATGAGGCAGGAAGAAGAAAAGTGGGAATTTCATCTCCCCAAATAAAGCAATCTGAGGAGCTTGGTGATAAGAAGATCCTAGGAGATGGCTGTGTAAATTTTTCATTTATTCATTGCTTCCAAGTCCCAGGGAGCCAGAAGCTGGGAAGAAGACGAAGCCTCAAAGGTCCATTCTGATGAAGGCCTGGTCCTCACTAGCAACTGGACTAAGTGCTGAGCACATCACTCTGTCCTCAGACAAATGATCTGAAAAGCAGCCCAGGCCTGTGCACAAATGAGCCCAGGCCTGTGCACAAATGAGGAACACAATTATAATGCCCTCTTGACTGAAAAAATAATGAAGAATTGAAGTGGATATTTGCCCTCCTTGGTTAGTTGCTGTTGATGAGGAAACCTGAACAAGTAGGACTATGTTGATACAGGTGATTTTGAAGGACAAGTTGTGGGAAAGCCATTATAGCTTGTCTCAGAAAAGACAAGGGTTAGTGAATATTAACACTTGTTTCCATAAAAAATTAAATCTGTATTTTTTCTATATCTTGTCATCTTAAAATTGAGCTTCTGTCAAAGGTGGTTAAGAAATGCAAGGATTTTTCTGTTATACCACAATAAACTTGCTTGTATATTTTAATAGTAGGTCCAAGGACTTTTGACTTATAACCACCAGAGTATATGATTTATTACAAGATTGCATTTGTTAGAATATTTGTTTATAAAACTTTTTCATTTAAAATTATTGGTTATGTTTGGCATAAAGGTTTGAATTTACTCACAAGCTTTAAGTCAATATGATGTAACTAATCTGCCTCTAATTCATTCAGTTTACATAAAAGGACTTTGTAGCTACTACTAAAATTAAAGTTCTAGCCAAAAAATAAAAATAAAAACCCTAATAATAAGAAAACTCAAAAAAATGGGCAAAAAATTTAAATAGATATATTACCAAAAAAAAAAAAATTCATGGCAAACAATAACATGAAAAGTTGCTCAATATTATTAGTCATTAAGAAAATACAAATTAAAACCACAATTAGATACCATTACATAACTATTACAATGGCTAAATTTAAAATGGCTGATGATACCAAGTGTTTGCAAGGATGTGGAGGAACTGGAACTCTTATATGCTGCCAGTGGGGTTGTGAACTGATACAACCAGTTTGGAAAACAGTTTGTTTTTTTCCTTTTTAGTTTTCTTCTCTCTTTTCTTTTCTTTTCTTTTCTTTTTTTTTTTTTTTGAGATAGGGTCTTACTTTCTTGCCCCAGCTAGGGTGCAGTGGCATCATCATAGCTCACTGCAACTTTAAACTTCTAGGTTCAAGGGATCCTCCTACCTCAGCCTCCCAAGTAGCTGGCGCTACAGGTCCAGGCCACCGTGTGTGGCTAATGTTTCTATTTTTCATAAAGATGGGGTCTCACTCTTTCACAGGCTGGTCTCGAACTCCTGACCTCAAGCAATCCTCCCACCTTGACCTCCCCGAGTGCTAGGATTACAAGCGTGAGCCACTGTGCTTGGCCTGGGTTTTTCTTTAAAAGTTTAACACCACAAATTATATGATTCAACCATTCTACTCCTGGATATTTAATCAAGAGAAATGAAAGCAAATGTCCATACAAAGATTTATACACAAATGTTCATAGCTTTATTTACAATATCCCAAACCTGGAAACAAATCAACTGCATGCACAAGTGAATGAATAAATAAATTTTGGTATTAATTCATGCTGCAACATGGGTGAATCTCAAAATAATAATGAGCAAAGGAAGCCAGGCCAGAAAATAGTATTTCCTGTATGATTCCATTTATATAAAATTCTAGAAAATTTCAACTAATGTATAGTAACAGAAAGCTGATAAGTAGTTCTTTGAGACTTAGGGAGAAGAGTTGCAGGAGGGAAGGCAGATTTACTGTGGGGCACAAGGGAACTTTTGGGGCCAATAGACATGTTCATTGTATTGATTGTAATGATTTTACTGATGTAAATGTCAGACTTTTCAAATGGTGTATTTTACATGTGTTCTGTTTATTATATGTGCATTATTTATCCATAAAGCTGGCTAAAAGTGGAATAAGAACCACATGACATTCTTTAGATTCTTCTTTTTGGATACAGTTGTCTTTCTGTTAGAAATGTTTGAAATTTGAACTCTTATTCAGTCTCATAATGTATTCACTCCTAATTTTGGCAGAATGAAGATCTGACTCTTTTAGTTAAGGAAATGGAACAAGGGCAGAGTGACCTGGAGAAGGTGCAAGACCTTTATTCCGAATCCTTGATCATGGACTGGTGGTACAATGGGGAAAAGGAAGGTGACAGCAAGTGAGTGTGCGAAACCGCCCTGTCTTCCCCATGGCTGGGGGCCTCTCAGACACTCTGCTAGCTCTCCGAGACACTTTTCCTTTCTGAAATGCTTCATGAGATTTCTTTTAATGAAAAGAATCACATAGTGTGATTAAGTTAGGATTTTTTTTTAGCAAAGAGAATTAATATTATTAATTTAATAGCAATGAACTTGAGAAGGCCACATATTCACCTTGCTATTTTCCACCAGTGTGGACAGCCCTATCCCCCAACCCAAGCAGTGACAGGGCAGAGAGGAGTGCTGGGTGGGGAAGGAGACTGGACTCAGGGATCATGATGCCTGAGATCTGAACTTCAGCTTGTGTGACCTTGGCAAGTCCTGTAATGTTCCTCCATACCTCCCCATTGCTGTAGGGCTCAGTTTCCTCATTTTTAAATTGGTCTGTCCACACCTATTTTCTAATATGTTTCTAATTAGTAGTTTTTAAACAAAAATCAAAACTACTTCCAACACTCAGGAAATTTGTCAAATCTTATTAAAATGATTTAACATTATCCAGATATTCAAGTCATCACAGCTACCCTGCCAGGAGAGTGTCTATATTTAAAAGAATGGTGGCAATACTCTGGTTTCTCTTCAGATAGTATAAATCTTTCACCTTTTAAAAGAATGGTGGCAAAATGGAAAAAAATTGAAAATACATTTATTAATCATAATTTCCTGTTTAGCAAAATTTACTATCTTCCTATTAGCAAATTAAGCATTTATATGGTTTGAGGGCAGGCCATGAGCACGGAATCAGTAAAAAGAGGTAAATGTTTTAATGGCCATTTTATGATGAGATTTTACAGCATTATTTTTTAAGTATTTGGGAAAGTACAGATACATCTTCTAAACTCAAAATATCTGAAAAATAAACTAAGAACCCAATAAATAAAAAACACTTAAGTGTAAATTATTTTCTCTGTACCTTCAGCCAGTACCTTAACTATCTTTTTCTCCTCACTGAATCAAACTAAAAATCTCAGGACAAAATGACCAGCTGTTGCTTAGAAGTTGGATGGGTCAGTTGACTGTGTCTGCTGTTGGCTTGAGTAGTGGCTAGTCTGGTTTTTATATTTCTTTATTGGGGGCTGGAGGGAGCAGATTCTGGAATCAGAGAAGCATTTTAATATTCCAGCCATTACATGTTAGGTAACTTTGGGCAAGTTACTTAACCTTGTGGAGCCTCAGTTCCTTCGTCTATAACATAGAAATAAGGGTAGTCATAGGATTGTTAGGCGGATTAAATGAGGGTATGCCTGGCATGTAATAAAGCTCTGAATTAATATAAAAGAAAGAGTACCATCCTACAGATATCATGATTCCATGCTTCCTTATAACTTAACATTAGAAAAAGTTGATTCTCTCACTTTAGCTATGCTCAACAACAAACTGCCCTTTTCTAGTTTTCCACTAGGTGAAAAAAATGTTACAGCCCCCAAATCTTTTTTACCTCTATTAAGTCAAAATCATGTGCCAGGAGAACTGGGATACATAAGTGGATGTAAGCCTAGTCCTTTCTGCCATGGGACACATGGTGTAGACACAGTTACACAAAGGATTATGGAATGGGGTGGGTGGTCTGTAGAGGGATGGGGGCAGGGTGGCTGGTGAAGGACAAAGGGCACACTTTACAGTGTTGCTACAGGAGATTGTTCTGGACACTTTCCTTTCTGTGGCTGCTGGGTTTAAAGCTTCAGAGAAGGTAATGTCTGGGAAAATACTTAGGTCTTTCTGGGGTCCCTCCTGATCCCACATCTTCTCCAGAATGGTTTGCCACAATCTGGTCCAAGGCAGGAGTTTCCTTTCTCTAGCTTTTATAAGAGCTTGATGGTTGATACTTTGGTTAAAGAAATGGCTTTTTGTAATGCTTACATCTTTATGACCAGCTCTCCCTCATATTAATCCTCATAGCAGCCCTACATCTTGGTGCAAAGGTGAGGTTTCTTGCAGTTTATAAAAGAGAAAAGTGAAGAAATTTAGAGAGGAATGAGCAACTTCAACAAAGTCACACAGCCAGGAGGGACCTGAATCATGATGAGAGCCATATCTTCTGACTCTAGGGCTGGGCCCCTGTCCATTCTTCTGCATGGAACAGGATAAATGACTATTTTTATATTAACCCAAATGAGGGAAGGCTTACTTCTTTAGGTTTGACACATTCAACATGAATGTATTGATTTAACTCTGCCTTCTTGATGGAAATTTTCTTTTTCCCCCTCTTTTTCTTTTTACTTTTTTTTTTTATGTACTTTTTATCTACATCAAAGCAGGCATCAAAAGGAAATCTGTTCTATGGTTTCAACCCCAGAAAAATGTGCAAAACTTCAATCTGATGTTGAATCAATGCGAACCTCATCTCTGAATATATTGAAAGGACCATTGGGCCTTTTGGATCAAAAGATTCAGAAAAAGAAAGTCCTCCATGCAGGTATCAGTGAACAAAATGGCTTGACTCTTTTCTGGTTTTCCTTCAATGCAAGAAGATAGAATAAAATTAAATCCACATAGTATTTTTTAAAAGCCCTAAACTTGTGGGAGTTTTTTAACTAAAAATTTTATTTAGATAATTATACATTCTCATGATCTTATATATCTACCCTTCATCCATCCAGTTTTTCCCAATGGTAACCTCTTGCAAAATAATAGCACATATTGAAACTGGGATACTGATATTGATCTAATCCACAGGTCTTATTCAGATTGTTCCAGTTTTACTTGTACTCGTTTGCTATTTTATAACCATACCTGCCTCCCTTTCACCACCTTCCCTACAGCTAAAATCATACTAAATAGGGAAAGACTGAATTATTTCCCCCTAAGATTGGAAAAAAGGTAAGGATACCCACTCTCACCACTCTTATTCAACATAGTAATAGAAGGTCTAGCCATTGCAACAAGGAAAGAAGAAAAAATAAAGCCAGAAAGATGAGGAAGGATGAAATAAAACTATCCCTATTTGTAGATAGCATATCTTCTATGTAGAAACAGCAAGGGATCTACCAAAAATAGAAATTCCTAGAACTATTAAGTGAATTCTGCAACATTGCCAGTTGTAGGCTCAACACACAAAATTAATTGCATTTTGACACACTAACAATGAGCATACAGCAACTATATTAAAAACCATTTATAATTACTCCAAATAAAATAATTAGGTATAACACTTAACATTTACAGGATCTGTATGTTGAAAATTACATAATTCTGCTATAAGACATCAAAGACCTAAATAAATGGAGAAACATACTATGTTCATGGGGTGGATGAATGGATGCCATTTCTCATGAAATTGATCTACATGTCTAATGTAATTTGTAATAAAATCCCAGAAACATTTTTTATAAACATAGATAAGCATATTCTAAAATGAATACAGAAACTTCTGGTCCTAGGATAGCTAAAATAATTTTGAAAAAAAGAATAAAATTAGAGGAATCACTATACCTGATAAACCTGGCTTACCATGTAAATATATTAACAAAGACAGTGTAGTATTGGCAGAGGGATAGCCAGAATAGAGGAACTAGATTTAACTTACATAAATATGCCCAATTGATTTTTGACAAAAGTACAAAATTAATTCAATGGAGTAAGTATAGCCTTTCAACAAATGGTGCTGGTACAATATCTATAGGCAAAAAAAAAAAAAAAAAAGAGAGAGAAAGAAAGAAGGAAAAAGAAAAAAAGAAACTTGACCTAAACCTCACACCTTATACAAAATGGACTCAAATGGATCAAGTAAATGGATCATGTTCAATGTAAAACATAAAACTGCTAGAAAAAATAGAAGAAAATCTTTATCAAGTTGAGGAATTTCACCGCATTCCAAGCTTTTTGAGAATTTGTATCATGAATGGGTGCTGGATTTTGCCAAATCTCTTTTCTGTGTAAATTGATAAAAGATTTTTCTTCTTTGGTCTATTAATATGTAGATTACATTGACTGATATTCAAATGTTGAAGCAGCCCTGTGTATCTTGAAATGTTTCTCACTTGGTTTTAGTGCATAATTCTTTTAATACATTGCTGGTTTCAGTTTGCTAATATTTTGTTGAGAATTTTTGATCAAAGTTCATAAACGCTATTGATCTGTAGTTTCTTGTTGTTGTTGTTGTTTTTTCTTTTTAATACTGTTCTTGTCCAACTTTAGTATCAAACTGATATTGTCCTCATCAAATGAGTTGGGAAGTTGTCCTTACTCTTCTATTCCTGGAAGAAATTAATGTAATTCTTCTTTGAATGTTTGACAAAATTATCATGAAACCATTTGGGCCTAGGGATTTCTTTTTCAAAAGATTTTTCATAATTAATTCAATTTCTCTAATGGTTTTAAGATAATTTGTATCATACATTTCATCTTGGTTGAATTTCAGCAATTTGTGGTTTTTGAGGAATCAATTGGTCCATTTTTTCTAATTTGTCAAATTTATGAGGGCAAAGTTGTATGTTGTATTCCTCTATTACCTTTTTAATGGCTGCAAGATCTTTAGTGATGTTCCCTGTTTCATTCTTGATATTAGTGCTTTGTGTCTGTATTCTCCCTTTTCATCTTTTTCAATCTTGCTAGAGGTTTTATTGGTTTTATTTTCTATTTGTTCAGTTGTTTCAGGAGAATTTGTAGTTAACTGTTGATGCATTTTTATAGTCAGCTTCTTCAAAATCCTTGTCAGATAACTCCAACTTCTAATACATCTTGGTGTTGGCACCATTTAAAGATGCAATTTTCTTGGTTCTTGATGTGATGGGTGATTTTTGATAGTGTCCTGGACATTTTGTTTATTATGTTAGGAACTCTGGAACCTATTTAAATCTTTTATTTTAGGAAGTAGTCAACCTGCTTAAATTTAGCATGTAGGCCTTGACCTACTTTTGTGGGCTGTGGTTCCAATGGCAATTTAATTTTTACAGTATTGTTTTGGTGTTTGTTTTCCTGGTGTGCCTGAGACTCCTACTGGTCTCTGCTGGTACTACCTGAGCTGGCAGCAGGGATCTTCTCAGAGGTTAGGTGTTTTATGAGAATGCAGTGGTTGTGGTGACCTCTCCCGCTGCTGTCTGTGGGTCTCTGGGGTCTCTCCATGTCTCTGGGTTGGGGAAGAGAAACTTGAAACTACACGAACCAAGACACTTCCTGGAATGGGCCACTTCCTGAAGCTTCTTCCCTCTTGCACGATCTGTCTATTTGCTCCTGGTATCTCTGTGCGAGGAGCAGTGTCTTGGGCCCATGGGGACAAACAGGCTTCCCATACTGGCTACTTGTTTGGTGGCATCCCTTTAGCCAGTCCTGCCTGCCCACCCCAGTGAACCTGAGTCTTGTTAGAGTTGCTGCTTGTCCTGAGCATTTTAATGGCCTATTGTCATTTCTACCATTTCACTTAGATTTGGGATCTTTGGTATTGAGAGGCAATCATATACTGACTTTTTATTTTGTTTCCATTTTTTATGTAAAAAAGCAATGACATGTGATGAATGACCAGTCGTACAGAATCTGGGGAGGAGTTAAATGCTTGAATCCACTACCAAACAAACACATTTTCATTCAGTATTCACAGCATTCGAGAATAGGCCAGTTTTTGTGTTTGGGGACTTTGGGAGCTAAGTTTCAGTTTCATTTGGTACACACAAAATCTGGTGATTTTCATCCAGCAATTATGGTCAAGGTGGCCTGCCAGTGTGTCAGTGGCAGGAGCTCAGCTCTCCTATGTGGATCATTTGTCCCTTTTTCTCATATATTTCCAAAGATAGTATATCTTTCTTAACTCCTGGTCACAGAGGCAACCAAGACAAAAGGGCTCAAATAATACCTACAAAACCAATGAATACCATATAGTACACTCTTATCTCCTTACATGAAGACCACTACTATTACTTTTCTGTGTAAAATATAGATCATTTGCAGATTATTAGCTAATCTTTAATTATCTAATTTCTTATAGGAGAGGTTGAGTCCCACCCACTGAAAAAACAAACACATTTCATTCATGAATGCATATGTAATGCCTTGGGACTTGTGCCTCTAAATTGTGAAGTACAGAATACAATTAGTGTGATTTATATCATCAAATATGAAAAGAAATTAAGTTGACTTGGCACAGGTTCATTGTCATCTAAAGCATACAGATTAAAGGTCAATATTTGATAAATATCACTTGCTAGGAGAAGGGATGCAACAGAAGGTAGAAAACAATACACATAAAGGTCTGGACAACATTTGTGGTAGGTAGAATTTCTAAAGGGCTTATCAAAGATGTCCTGACCTAAACCCTGCAACCTCTAAATATGATGAGACATCACTATCATGATCATGTTATACTGACCTAAAGACAGGATTGGCTAAGTGGGTCCAGTGTAATCATATGAGCCCTTACAAGTAGGAGCTTTTTCCAGTTGGTGGCAAAAGAGAAAGAGAGAAATTTGAACCATGAGAGGAATTCAATACTCCATTCCTGACTTGAAGATGGAGGAGTCACATGAGAAGAAATGTTGCCTTAAGGAGCTGAGAGAAGCCCCTGGGCTACATCCAGCAAGGAATTGGGGACTCAGTCCTACAACTGCAAGGAACTGAATTCTGCCAACAACCGAATGAGCTTGGAAGCAGATTTCTCTCCAAAAGGGGCACAGATTGAATTCAGATAGAGGGGGAAATCCATTATGGTAGCATGTAGTTTGTGATAGGACTATCCACTGAGGGTTAGGAAACCAAAGTTTCAATCTTCTTTTAAGGATCCAAGGAAATAGTTGTATCTAATGAAGTATTAATATCTCCTTCTATCCCAAATTCCTTTAACTCTTCTCCCTGTGATACCAACAGAATCAACCAAAACCAGCCTGCTCAGAAGCCAGATGGCCACCCTCAAGAGCTCAGATTGCAGTGAAAGGAAGAATGGCTTCTCCAATTCTTCTCCAAGTGACAAAGGCAAGCCAGAAAGGGTCTCTATCCCAGGAAGCCCAGCCTGCCTCCCTTTGCCCAGTGCATTCCTGAAAGGACTAGGTGTGGATATGTTTCGGAAAAACAAATCGTATTTTAAGTGGGCCCCGATTGTTTCCTATTCTAAGAATCCCTTGTAAGTCAAGTCCACCTGCTTTATGAACTGGATTTTCTTAGGGCTAGACTTGTGCTTAGAATGCTTTGGTGTTTAATACACACAGGCTCACATAACTGTGGTGCTAGTGGTGATGCTTGCTGCCATTCCATGGTTTGAATTTGAAATGTTAATACTTGACAGTTGGTTTACTTTCTTCCCTTCATTCATGGGGTACCATCCAATGAGCCCCTTTCTGGCCCAAATTGTCAGTCTTTTGGGGGCTAACTATGAGGAAAATATGATTTTTCCACTCAATTTTTATTACTGACTTACTATTTTTTAAATAGTAAAATTTTAAAGTTTAATTCCTATTGTACTTTTCGTTATATTTTAAATAGTTGATAAATAATAAATCCCACATACTCACAGTCCCCTGGGTAGTAGGAAGCACCTGAGTGACAAATATCACCTGTTGATACTCAGTCATAGTTTAATCAAACTCTATTTTCGTTAATGCTGATTTGTGTGATGCCTTTCCTCAGTTTCAATTATCTGTCACATTTCCAAATCTGCTACATGCACAGTCCTTACAGGGCTTATCAAATGATGATTAAGAACATGATTTCTTAGTTATTTCAACTAGCTTATGTACCCCTCCTTCTCAATGCTGCTCATTCAGCAAAGTAATATTACTTCCCATTTATAAATATAAGTTTATGTAAGGATGTAAATTTAAACCCCCAAATATTAATTTGAAAATTTAAACTTACAACTGAAGAGGACCTAACAAGGTTTTTGGTTTTTTACATAGAGCTGGAGAACTATAATATGAACTATCAGAAACTAAAATGTTGATCAAGCCTCTCTTGTATAATCTGGGGGAGTCTAAGAGGTCAACATTGAACAAACATGGGTTCATGGTATTCTTATTGAACATTTTAGGCTGGGCATGGTGGCTCATACCCATAATCCCAGCACTTTGGGAGGCCGAGGCAGGAGGATCGCTTGAGGCTATGAGTTTAAGACCAGCAACATAGTAAGACCCCATCTCTACAAAGAATAATACAAATATTAGGTGCTCGAGAGGCTGAGGCAGGAGGAACACTTGAGCTCGGGAGGTCAAGTTGCAGTGAGCTACGTTAATGCCACTACATGCCAGCCTGGATGACAGAGTGAGATGCTGTCTCTGAAAGATAGATAGATAGATAGATAGATAGATAGATAGATAGATAGATAGATAGATAGATAGATAGATAGATAGATAGATTTTAAATGTGTGTTTTCTGGAGAATAAGGGAATGAGTATGTCTCGTTCTTCCATAGCGAGAAATCTCCTCAATGGATATGAGATGATGTAGATAAGCAAAACAATGGTAGTGCCATGTTATCTATGCATTTAGTATAAATTGCAAAGGAATCTTCCTGAGAACCCACTCTGACAGACCAAGGTATGTTTTCTGAAATATGGTCCATTTATTAGCCGTTGGTCATGGCTGAACTGAGATAAGTGTGATCCTTTTGCATTTTGATGTAAACGCCGGATATGAGGAAAATACACAACTGCCATTTCCCCTTCCACAGAAGTAAGCATCCTACTGGCAAATGAGTGCCTGGATGACAAATCATCGGAAAGATTGATCCGAAAAGGAAGCCAAGTTTATGATGGGTGAGTGCTTTAATTTTATGAGAGCAGTTTTGTCTGTTACCCACCAAGTTGAAAAAAGTTTTAAAACACCACAGTTCTGTGTTCTTAGTTTTTTAGATGTATCTTCAGAACACTGGCTCAAGACCTATGGCTTGGTCGCCAAGAAACTGACCATCATGGATGCCTTGTCAGTGACTGCGGTCCCCCACAGCTCAACCTACATCCGAGTTCTGGACAAGCATGTTGTTTCCAAGGTCTTTGATGAGGTAAACTATGTGTCCCTGATTGACGTATCTTTCATTTTCTGCCCAAATAAAAAGTATTCCACTGCAATTTTTCTTGTATGGTTGTAATAGAAATGTATTTTAGCCATTGGGGAAAAAAGTATTTGTAAAGGCAGTAAAAAGGAGAGAGAAAGAATAGCTCTTACGAATTTTTTTAAGGTGAGAGGAAACTGGCCTTTGTTACATTGTAAGTTCACGGCTTGTTGCTGATGGGTAGAAGTATGGAGCTGCAGAAATGTTCAGGAACTCTCTAGGCCAGAGTCACAAGTGAACATCATCCAATATGAAAGGATAGGGAGAACTTGTGAGAGATTATGTCCTTCCTTTGCTTACCTGCTCTTCCTAAACTAAGTGGATTCCTATCTTTTCCATCATAAAAGCCTCCAAAGGAAAGAGAGAGACAGAGACAGGAAGAGGAAAGAGACTATGTCAGCAAGAGAACCACCAGGGGCTACTAGTCAGGTACCAAGTGGAGAAAAAGAGATTCCAATATGAAGGCATGGTGGGGATAAAAGTGGAGGAAGGCCAAGTAAGTACTGAACAGCTTCCATTGAATTTGGCCACTAGGAGGCCCTTGTCTTTATGAGAACAAATCCGGTGGAGCAGCCAGATTGCATTATGATAAGGAACACCAGAGAAATGAGAACATGAACATTGAACCCAGTGCTTTCTGGCAAATATAACAGCAAGTAATAATTTAAATAGCAACATATCAAGTTTTATAGTTACTAAGTGGAAATAATATCCTTAAAAGTCCTTTCTCATGCTAAAATATTTACAGAGGAAATAATGCAATGTTTGGGATTTGCTTCAACATAATCTGGATGGTGGGAGTAGTAGGGGGAGGGGAGGAGTACCTGAAACAGATTGGCCATGAGTTGATAATAATTAAATTTGAAAAATAAGAATGTTGAAAGGGGAGGTTCATTCTACTATTTTTTTTTTCTGCTTTCTAATATATTTGAAATTTCCAATAAGAAAAGTTGGGTGGGGGGGAGCAGGATAACTTAAAGAAAGAAAAGGAAAGGAAAGGAAAGGAAAGGAAAGGAAAGGAAAGGAAAGGAAAGGAAAGGAAAGGAAAGGAAAGGAAAGGAAAGGAAAGGGGAAAGGAAAGGGGAAAGGAAAGGGGAAAGGAAAGGACCTTATCTAACTGGCCTTGAAATGGCTGAGATTTGATTTATTTGGAAGAAGCAGGTAAATTAATGAGATTTTTTTTCTATTAGTCACATTTTAAGAATTATAACCCATGGAGGTTGGCATGCATCCTGCTTTGATGTGACCAGTGACTGTTAGTCTGAAGGTTGTATGTGTGTCATCCTTTAGGCTGGTTCCTAACTACTTTGCCTCAAGATAAGCGGTCCTGTCCCTGGCCGTGACCCTTGTGATTGGCAGATTCAATTTAGACCTCCAGTGAACTCTAACCTGATTATCAGATATCAGCTTATCACTTGAACCTGACTTCTTCCAGAGCGACAGAGAGAAACTGAACACTGATTTATTTCTTCTAGGAAGTTTGGTGATAGCTTATTCATATTCTGTACATTTATTATATTAATATTCTTCAGTTTTATTTGGAACAAAATATATTTAGTGAGCTCTCCCTGGAAATAGAATTTTCTTGGGCTTATCATGCTTCTTTCTAAATCTCCCAACAACTTGAGATACATCAAAAAGTAAATTTCTCAAAAAAATTATAGTAGGATAGGGAAACATAAGCATAAAATCCAAGGAAGAAGCCATAAAGGAAAGATTTATAGACTGAATACATAAAAATGTTATTTTGCATAAAAACATATAAATAAAATAAAAGCAGATCTCAGAAAAATATCTGTAATTTATATGACAGACAAAAAGGGTCATAGGATACGTGTGTATATCAGTATAAATCAGTATGTATAAATCAATGTTCAATATACAAACATACATGCACACACATTCATACCATAACAAATAAAGGAATAAAAAGTGTGATAAATACCTCAGTGGCAAATCTAGGGGAAAAATGAAAAAAGCCAAAACCACATACAAAAATATTTAACTTTACTGGTAATTATATGCACTTTGAAAAAATACAAATTGAAAATCAATTAGACACATCCTCTTCCATCAAATTGGTAAGGTTGAAAAATACTAATAAACAATGATAGGGTGAAATAAGAACTGTTACATCCTGCTAGTGGGAAAATAAATTGGTGTAACCTTGGTGTAATATGTTCAGAGGCCTTAAGAGCTTACATTTATACCAGTAAATCCATATATTACTAGGAATCTATATAAGGAAATAATCAGAGATACTGACAAATGTGCAGAGAATAATTACTGCTGCCTTGTATCTAATAATGAGAAAACTGAAACAACCTAAATATCTAATAGACACATTCATATAATGGAACATATACATTCATTAGATATCACATTTCTGAAGAATAAGTAATGACATGAGGAAAAGCCCTCAGTATCATGCTAAATGAAGAAATCATAGTACAAAACTACATATGTAGTATGTTAGCAATTTGGTTTTATGTATATATTATTTGGGCATAGCACTTTCTCCCTCCCTCCTTTTTTCCATTACCAAAATGTTAACAGTTTAAATTAATGCTGAGTTGTTAGAGAAGTTTGTTTTTTATTTATATACTTTAACTCTTAACATATACATTTATACATTTATATACATTAACTCTTAACATATATTAATTATATACAGAGAAAAAAGTTAACAAAAACAGATCTAAAAGCAAATGATAAAATGATATAAAGGGAACTTAATTTTAATTAATTATTTTATTTTTATTTGGTAAGTAATGAATACATTAAACCATCCTGAAGTCTTTAGAGGAAGATGTGAAAGCTTCCCTCACAATCACTCCCTTCCATGGAGGAAACATTCTGACTAGTTCAATAAATTTCCTTCCAATCCTTTTTCTACCTGTATATATGTATACAAATGTATACATATTTTTATACATATATACATAGTACTTCAATAAACATAAATAAGGCAATACCATATGGATTTTCTGTTTTATCTTTTTAAAAAATTATGTCTTAAGGCAGGTGTGGTGGCTCCCTCCTGTACTCCCAGCACTTTGGAGGATTGCTTGAGCCCAGGAGTTTGAGGCTACAATACGCTATGATCATGCCATTGCACTCCAGCCTGGATGACAGAGCAAGACCCTGCCTCAAAAAGAAAAAAACAAGAAAAAACAGCAAACATTATGTCTTGGAGAACTTTCCACACAAGTAGATACTGGTCTATCTCATTTTCATTAGCTGCAAGGTTCTTCACCATTATTAATGGACATTTATATTTTATCCTTCCTAACTCTATTAAAAACAACCCTGTAACATATTTCCTTATACATAGATTTTTGGGGCACAGTTACAAGTCTGTCTTTGGGATAGATTCCTTCAAGTGGGATTGCTGTACCTGAAAGATATTTACATATCAAATTTTGATAGATAAATTCAAATCATCCTCCGAATACATTTTACATTTCCACTAGTTTATATCCCCACAGACAGTGTACAATGATGCCCTTTTCCTAAGAGTAACTCTATATAATACTTGACAATCATTAGTCCCATGAGTGCAGAAATACTTTGAAATCCCTGAAAGTAGTATGCAGACATAAAATCCTGATTCAACTTGTCCTTTCCTCACTGGTTCATATGCTGAAGAAGTAAACTTAGTAACTAGTCCAACATTGAGAAATTTGCTGTCTAGGATGCATGCAATGTATCTGTACTCTGGTAAAAATAATATTCCTACTCTGAGGTTGTTATGGGATTAAAAGAAATAATGCACATAATGGATAGTACTTAGCAGGCACTTAATAAATGTTGGCTTTCATTATAAAAATATTCAACAAATATATGCCTACTATATGACTGTGCTGGGCTCTAGACAACAGTGCCAAATAGGACAGCCAACATTCCTAGCCCAGCACAACTTACAGTCTCATGAAGGAAATAGCAATGAAAATAAGAGAATTTCTAATTAAATGTAACAAGTGGAAAGTGCTGTGTGAAGGTGCAAGAGAGGCCCCCTAACTAGGTTTCAGTTGTGGGAGGTGTTCCTTAGCCAGCCCTGTCCAAGTTCAGACCAGGGGAAGAGGAGGAGTTATGAAGGGGAAGAAATGGGGAAGAGGGTCCTGGCAGTGGGGGAGCTATGGGGGAGTCTAAGGGACTGAGGAAGTTTTCATTCCAGAGGAAGTTTAGTGTGACTGGAGAAGGCAATAAATCTGGTGAAGGAAGGGCCTCGGTTGAGTTAAGGATTTTGCACTTCATCCTGAGGGGAATGGAAGGGTTTTTAGCAGAGGACAGAAAAGATTAATTTGGAGCTTTGGCTGCCATGCAGGCAGTAGTTGGAGAGGTGCGAGGCTGGGAAGACTGGGACAGTCAAGAGGCAAGGTCTGGTGGCTAGGCACAGTGGCAACAGGGAGATACCCCTAAGGCTATTGTAAAGTCAAGTCATCAGGACTAAACGATGTGGGGCTCAGAGTCAGAAAACTGTCAAGATTGATTCTCCAGAGTCCAGCCAGGATTATCAAGGAGGAAAAAAATGAGAGGACAAGTAGTGAGGGTCCTGTTCTTCAGGAGAACATTCTAGTCTCCTGCCTCTAGAAAGCAAAGCCAAGGGAAGGGGATGAAGAGTTCTCAAGTGTATTTCATGGGCACTTGTACTTGGTTCATTTCGTGGCATTGTAAATTCTCATCATGAACCTGCAGGCAGGTAGTGCACTGCCCAGCACACTTACCCTGCTTTATTAATAGTAAGAGCAAGAATCATGATGATAGAAATATACTGCTATAAATTCCACTTCACCTTCAAACCACATTTGTATCTTTTATTCCCTAGTATTTTCTCTGACTAGAAGAGACCCTCAGCTATAAATGGAAAGAATATCAAAACAATAATCTTATCTCCCACTTCATGGACTAAATAGCTTTTTGAGATTTGAACCTAACATTTTATGAAA